TCCGATCGTGTTCGGATTTTGAGTTCAATTTTTTTTTGCCCACCCCTAATTTTAGTGTATTATATTGGTGTAATAGTTTTGTGATTCAAGTATCTGTAATTATGTCTGTCCTTTCGATTTTTACTGAACATATGGGATGTAGTTGGTTTCTCCGAGTTTAGTTGTTAGGACGACACTTATTTAATCCCGTTCAATGGGATCAGTATCCCTCTTCATTCCATTTTGCGGAATCAATTAGCTTTCTCACATGGGAGATGTTATCTACCCTCTAATGGATTATGTATTTTTCCATGTGAGATTGACGTACCCCTAGTTGGGTTCCTCTTATTTAATATAACAAGTTAGCCGACAAAAAAAAAAAATATACTCAGAATACTTCTAAGAAAAACTCGTTAACTTAATTATTTTAACTATACTAAAAGAATAATCAATTACGGACAAAAATAATTGTTAAGAACAAAAAAGTAGACTGGCCATGTATCATCACCAAAAACACTCTTGAAACTTCTTTATTTTTGTTTTTGTTCTGAGCTATTAGTAAAACTTAACAACCGGGGTTGCTACTGTAACATGTGCAGAAATGATTGCCTTTCCTTGGCCCAAGCATGTCAACACAATCGCAACGAGTCATCTTGGCAAATGTAGGAGGATTAAGTTCTCTTAAACACTGTTTGGTTTTGTCAGCCAAACATTTCCCTTTGACTTGCTCTCCAACTTGACATCATGTTGGCCTTTCCTGTCCTATTTTCAATCAACCACACACCAAAAAAAAATGTAGATAAAATTAAGCTTAATGATTGATAATACAAAAAAAAAAAAGCTTTGTCTTTTACTAGTAGGAGTATTTTTTAATAGAAATAGTGTTTTCATATATTGCGATAGACAAATGTTTAAAAAAAAAGAGAATATTACCTTCAACATGGTTTAAAACGAAGAACATAGAGAAAACAAAAAAATAAAAACAAAGTAGCGTATCTCATGATTCCAAAATATACTAGAAAGTTTTTTTTAGAGAAATTTTAAAAAATGTCATTTTTCAAGTGCTATTTTACAAAAATGCCATACTTTTGAAATATTTACAAAAATGCCACTTTTTCAATATTATTTTTTCTTTATATCATTTATGTTTGGGTTAATTATGTTCTAGTAGAGTTTAGTTAGGAGGGTTTATGAGATTTTAGGGGTCAAAACATTTTTTTAGGGGCATTCTTGCAAATATGCATACAAAAAATGGCATTTTTGTAATTGCTCCAAATTTGTATCTATTTTGTATTTGTCTACACTCCTAATATATATACTTAACACAATACTAAATATAGGTNTTAAGTAAATTAAACGAAACAATAAAACCATAAATTGAAAGAAAATGTGGCTGAGCCAAGTCAACTTGATAGACAATATGGGTGGTTTATTTTTGGAGAAAATCTCCTTGAAAACTAT